CTTAGAGTGTTATGTGATGTAGGGACGGCCCCTGAGCACAAAGAGGATCCAGAAAAATATCTTACCATATCGATGCAATTTGCTTTAGCTCCTTCTCGGAGAAGCATCTCGACAATATCCTCTCTACCATTAAAAGCAGCAAAATGAAGAGCAGTTCTCTCAGTTTTTGTTCTTGCGTCCCTTGAGATTCCAGCACTGAGTAAATACTCGACAATTTTTTCATGGTTATTCTGACAGGCAAGATGCAACGCATTTGACCCAAGCTGCAAGTAATTAACGTTTGTATCTATTAAAGATTGTTCTTATAAAACAAGAGGCAAGCACATTGAAGTGTACTGAAAGTACGCTGAGAGCTACTGGCTGAAAAATGTGGGCAAAAATACATTATCGAGATGCCAATAAAAGGTCATCAAGCTCTCAAGTATCAAAGGTAAATAAAATTGATACTTCAATTCTACGTTTACAATGGCCATTAACGTATAGTCCTGGGGCATCATTCTTAACCTGCCATTAAGTGTCAATACTTAAGAATCTTACCATTAAGTAAAATGATCGTATAATGAGAAGTTTTGGTTAACACCTTTTGGAGAATATGGAATGCGGGCTGTTTTTGGCGCATCTCTATAAAGTATTTATGAGTGTTTGGCATTCTAGGCTATGACTTGCATTCCATGAGTCTGGGACTGTGATTCTTTGTTCTATAGGTCTGTTTCCTGTGCAGACACGTAGCGGTTTCACTTTGAGAGAAGGTAAAAAGAAATAAAATAGGGATGGATGGCATTGTACTAAGAAGTAGAAATTCTATTCTGCATCAATATCGAATTACTTACACGTTTGGCTTCGAGGCTGTAAAGGTTGTATGGTTGGTCCTGACTGTTTCCACTGTTGTCACAACTTTTATTGTCTGCGTACCTAATGTTTGTATTGAACTTGTTAAATTGAAAACAGGACTCAGGAATTGAACTGAACCAATCGCTTGAATAAAATACTATGATGAAAATTGGTTTCTGAACATGGAAGAATTGACATCTCATAACATAATGTTACAAGGCATAACCATATTTGCGTAAGTACTTAAATAAGGCAGATAGCAGGGCTAACACTCATTTTATAATACAAATAGGAAAATGGCGATAAAATAGACAAATTACTAGTTTGCTGTTCAGGAATACAGAGAAAAAATTATTTCTTACCCAATCATTCACAAATGGGGAGTTCTTTCGATACTGCTCCATGACAATTGCAAGATCTCCATCTCGAGCAGCAAATAGTAGAAGTTTGCCAGCTTCCAAAGCCTAAGAAAAGAATGAAAATTTTTAGAAATTATGGTAGGACTACTAAATCAACAGTGTAAGTCGGCAATCATATAACTCGGTTTGCGACGTCGCAGACTTCCTGTCATACTTTATTTTTTAAACGGAAAACTACTCAACGGCAATGCTTTAAAACTGTCATGATTTTTCTTCTCTATGCGAAGAAAATTCTGCAAAAACTTCAAGAAATAATGTCAATTTGTTCTCCTTTAAAAAAATGACATGGAGGCGGAGATTTTCAGACACCGCAAACGAGTTATGTGATTGCCCACTTACACCATCGATATCTCGTTTGCGGTGTCTGAAAATCTCCGCCTTCATGATAATTTTTTATAGGAGAACAAATTGATATCATTTCTTGAAGTTTATGCAGAATTTTCTTCGCATCAAGAAGAAAAATAACGGCAATTTTGAAGAACTGCCGTTAAGTAGTTTTCCGTTGAACAATCAAGTATGCCAGGAAGTCTGCGACATCGCAAACTGAGTTATAGGATTGCCGACTTACACCGTCAATAAGTAGATAGTGGTTTTGCTTTAAAATTGGCCACATTCCAGACAACAATTCTAAGGGTTTAAGTAAAATTTGTGTCAGAATTGAGCTTCCATGGATTCCAATGGACACAGTGGATTGAGTTTGGTTCGATGTAGCAGTAATGCACGTCGACAGGTACTTCGTAGTACTGTGTCGGAGGGGCTGTCACTTCCGTCTTTTGTGCAAATATATTGAACAAAGAGCAATGGAGAATATTATGAAAAACTACTGCAGATAAAGTTTAACATTTTTAAAGTAACAAAGCTGGAACTTATTCAGGTGACAGTAAAGGTGGTACCTATGTATCTCTTCACTTTCTCCTCGATTCTTCAAGGCAACCTTACTTAACCTGAACAAAGTTGGTTAGTTTTTGGTTGAATGGGTAGAAGATGCTCTTGTCAGAAAGACAGAAAAGTAGTGACATTTATAATGCAAATAAAAGGACTATAATTTTTTTTTCCTGCACTCAAAGAGCATTGGCGCTTCACCGCAGGAAATGGTTATCCATTTCCACATCCTTTCAACCGAAATCCGCCCGTATGAATACGTAACGCTTCCTGTTTGAGGCGGAAATAGGCGCTTCACGGGAGTAAGAGTTGAGAAACAGATTATGGATTTAGCTCGTGCTTACCTCGGATGAGGACATTTTGTGAATTCGCGCTGAATTGTGCTGAAGTAGATCACATAATAATCGTAAAGACTAAAATTTGAAAGTATTTGGGCGATGAACTAACGCGAATCGGGAAGCGAAAGTAAACAAAAGCTAATCACAACAACTGAAGTTGGCATAGGATGTGGATGTGAAGAGAGAGAATCGTTTCCGGTTCTTGATCGTGTTTGCGCCTGCAATGTACTGAGATACTTCCAGAGTTATTACAATTTTTCAATGCGCTATTATAAATAATTATGATTCCCCTCTCGACAAATTATTTGGAGCTCACACAAATTTTCAATTTTTTACCTTGATATTCCAGTTATTTTTATCAGTTCAAGTGAAAAAATCGTGGTCAAATAAAACAAATTCCGTGCTAATATGCACGAAGCCGAGCCGGCAACCTTGGTTGTTATCAGTTTGTTTTGTTCTGTTTTGTTTTTTTCTTATCATGAACACATTTTTGTTGACGTTGTTAGATTTCTCAGCTATTTTCATATCAATATCTAGGATTTTGATTTTTTGCAATACTTCATTTCATTGCCCTTTTCAACTATCTCTTCCTGGTAGAGATTAGCTGCCACCTGATCTATCTAGTTTCGTTTACTCTCAGTTTATTGCTCCGCTTTTATCTCATGACTGTCAGTGGCTGTGAAGTAGGTAAGTAAGTCGGTTTGAATCAAATATCCCTCTGTATGGACTATTTTGTCAATTTTTAACTCCCAGCATTGTTTTTGACAATTATTGCTCATGATTATTTTTTTCTGAAAATTGTTACTTTTCAACTCATTAATAGTGTTTAAAAATTATCATCATGATAAGACCTCCCCTGAGCTTTGTCTACTCGTCTCAACCCATGGATCGGAATTTGGGCAAAAAGAGCAATGTAATATGTGAATTGAGCTTAAACTTAACATTTCATAAAAGGTTAAAAATCAATCTCTTAATCCCTTATGACCATCTTCACGATTTTTTTTGACCTGTGTTCGCTGTCCCATTTTCTTGTGCAGGAATTACTTAGGGATTCCGATCTAGCTGGACATAGCTTTTAATCTTCATGCTAGCAGCTGTCGGAGAGCTGTATGATATAAGTGGCGAAGCCACAAGGTGGGAGTTGTTTCCCCGCAACGTGGTCCCTTCCTCTAGATATGAATGAGAAAATGAGAAAAACTCACGGACCCGGCAGTCTGCAACCAATCCAGGCCTGTCACATTCAGACAGTTGGCAGGAGAGGATCGAGTATACCCACAGGTTGCAGGTTTCCACCCCCCACGGTCTCACGATTAGCATGCAGAATGGCATCTTTATTTGAATGAAGTATGCTACTAAAATCATATGCTGAAATATCGGCAGTGTTGTTCCATTTCAAGCTCCGTGCTCCTAATGTTTTCCAGGATCATCCAATGAGGCAAAAATGGAGGGGCCGATAAAATTGGATTTCCAAAACAATAATGAACAAGAGGAGGTATTGGAAGAACAATGTGGATGGAAAAAGTGTCCAGGTAGGTGTATAATTTGGAAGCTAAGAGGTTGGAATTCTTATTTAATTTGTCAAACAAAAAAATTAATGTTTTTTGATTGTAGTCCTCCCAAATTTCTAATTCCTCTTTAGTTTTGAAGTAAATATCTTTTCATCCTTACCTGCGCATCTCGATGCATCACATTGAAATTTGGTTTCTTGAGTTTGTAGAGATTTCCAAATTGAACTGCAAATGCAGGTCCTGTAAAATTACTTTTATGTTCTCCATCATTCCTAGCAGTTGATGAGACGCTTTTTTATTTATATTCCACCTATAATAAAATGTATGTTGCTCTTTCCGAAGGGTTCCTCTTTTAATATTTACTCTTACAGATTTCAGTTCAGATCCTATTCATGATTCCAAGCGCACAGTTTTGAAAAATTTGAATGAAGAAGAAAGAGATGGCCTGAAAAAATTCCGAGAATGGGTCGATACACAATCCCATTTGAACCCCTTGAAGAGTAAGTTTTATCTAATAATTTTCTTTGCCCCACTCATAGATATTCTAAATATTTTTCTGTTTTTTTCCTCTTAAGAATGACGTAGTTATTGATTGAAAATTCCCAATTTATAGTGATGTCTCTCGTTTTTTATTGTTGAAAGTCATGTATCCTATTCTTCCTTTTCAAGCCAGAGAATTTTGACATAAAAACTCAACACATATTTTAATTTTTTGCTCCTTTTGTATTTTAATCAAACAATTAAATCAAGCCACTTTTGGGAGTTTTGTTTGCACTTTTATATAATTCTCATATCTTTTTACTTTTTTTCATTGAACAGCACTAATTTTTACTTTGAGCAGTTAAACTATCACGAAGAATATAAATGAGCATTCACCCAGGTTTCTGTAAATAATTTTTCTTTTTTTTTTCTCATTTCATTCCAGCTGATTTTGAGCTTATCAAGTTTCTCATAATTTCAAAGTATGACCAGGAGAAAGCAAAGAAACGGTTCTTGAACTTTTATAACATGAGAGCAAATGTACCTGAATGGTTTTCCAACAGAGACCCGCTTCTTCCTGAGCTACAAGCTTTACTAGATCTTGGGTAAGTTTTGTTGTCAAGTTTTCTGTTTGAAATATCCAAATATTTGCTCCAAAAATTTTTATTAAGTAAGTAGTTTTTTTCCTTTCATTAATTATAACTTGAAAATGGCAAATTTTGAAATGCTGTAAATACGGTATAATGTGTTTCTCATCTTCTTCCATTGCTAAAATGATCCCTGCCTCCTACCAAGTCATATTGGGGTCCATTCTCTTCTTTTTTTTAAAATACATATTGGCTTTGCATTAAAAAAATGTATTGTTTACATTTGAATAATGAATGACAAATCATGAAAATTACTTCCTAAAATCGGTGAGTGGCAGAGAATCATGCGCCCTTATTTCCTAGTGGCACTACTTAGACGTTAAGTTTGCAATTATTTCTCTTCATTTTTTAGGGTATTCTTACCGTTGTTAAACAAAGATTCCCTTGGACGTCAGGTCATTCTCGTTCGGGCTGGTGGACATGATCCCAGAGTCCATTCTCAAGAGAACATTTTCAAACTTGGCTGTATGATGGTTGACTACATTAGTGAAAGAGATGAATCCATAGTAGATCATGGTGTTGTCTTGTTGGTTGATCTTGAAGGAGTAAATTATCAGCATGCTCTTCATTTGACACCCTCAATCGTCAAGAAAGCTGTTAATTCATGGCAGGTATATGATCATATCAAGAGAGTGAGAGAGACTTAGGACCCATTCTGAAGGCCAAGAAATACGTGATGACCTCCGAGGTCGAACCCTCGTGAAAAGGAGTAGGGGTTAATGGGTTGCCACTTGTTTCTTCGCCAACAAAGTTGGCCCTGAGTCTTTTTCACTGTCATATTATAATTCGTATCTCAATTTTTTTTCATCTTTAAGGTATCTACTTTTCTGTTTGGTGAATTATGAGAATGGAGGTTTCCATTGTGGATCCCTTACCTATCATTATCTCGTCAAAAATAATGCATTGATAGAAATTAAAATACAAAAAATGTTAATTGATCCTGTTTGAAAATCATGCTGTCAAGCCAGAGGTTTGGCTTTTGGTCTTCTTGAAATCTGAATTTCATACCCTCATCAATGAGTCAAGAAGTCTTAATGTCTCAGAATTTCTTTACATAACTGGAAGGCTTTAAAAATTACGGCATATCTTTCTTATGAAATTTGTTCTTGTAGTTCAAGGGAGGTGCGATAACTCTTTACAAATTCAAAGTAGTATTGATTTAAAGTCCTATCAATGTTTAAATACTTTTCCTTTTTAGAGTTCCCCAAGGGTTTTTAAAAATTTTTATTGGGTGTTCCATAAGACTTTTTTTCTTTCTGGTTTTTTCAAAATCGAAAAGTTTGAAATTTTTGATGGCAAATTTTTCATATTTACCATGGATGCTTAATACCTCTCTCGTCAAAGATCAATAACTGCACTCACAAGTTCACTAATTTTGTCAACTTTTTGCCTTTCACCTTAAATCTTTTTTTCTAGGGGAAGAAGGGGGGTTTGATTCAATTAGTTTTCATTATTTTAGCAGTGTGGATCTATGGAAGGAATAAATCAGTCTTTCCATATTCCTTAATTTAACCCTTTTCACTCGAATTTCTTTTCGAGAGCACCCATTCTATACTCGTATTCAAGAACTCAAGTACATATACCTGATTGAGCGATTCTGTCACAAGTCAGAAAAAAGTGAGGAGCCACCAACGGAAAGGATCTTTTGCAGTGCTGGAACATCCCTACTGAGCAAAGTTCAGCTCATCATTTTACCACTCATCAGAACGAAGTTTCCTGTTGCAAAGCGACTATCAACTGAGAGTTGACACTTGAGTGTAAAAGGGTCAATGGAATTGTTTCAAATGAAATTTCTGTTTTGTTTCTACAAAATTTTGCTTTAATGCCATGGAGAACTATAAGTGTTATTGATTTTCTCAAAAATTACTTTTTACCTCAACAAATGGAGGGAACTTTTTAAGATTTTAATCAATTTGCTTGTGAAAATAACTATCAGTACCTATATAGTCAAATTTCAGTTGGACATCTCTGTGAATCTGTGTCTTAATTTTTGGTGCAAACATTAATGTGTTATTCTTCATTCTTTTAGAGCTGTTACCCAATCCGAATCAAGCGTTTTGACCTAATCAAGGTTGCATTGGCTTACAACGTAGTTCTGAATATCTTTCGGAAGTTCATGAAACAAAAATTAAAGGATAGGGTGAGTGCTCAAATAATGTAAATTTACTTTTATTTAAAATCAGGACTCAGTTGGTGGGGATCTTCAAAATTGCATGTAACAAGTATCCATGTAATGATTTTATTACTTTATTGAATCATGAATTTATTTCATTACATAGCAGAAGTAGAATACATTTTTACTTGTTTTATGGAAGTAATGTAATAAGGAACCTTAATTTACAGTCCCATGATTTTATGGTTTGGTTTGAAGGTTGGAGATATGGAAGCACGCATAAAAGATAATCATTCACAGTCTCATACAATTTAAGAAAGTAAATTTTGGAAACAAGTTTTGGAGTGATTTTAGTAATTATTTTGTTCGCTTTCACAGATGCACACACATGGATACGATATGGAATCTCTGCATAAAGTTATCTCTCCAGAGGCTCTTTTGGATACTTATGCTGGTACAGGAGGCACACTTGAAGAACATACAAGTAAGGAATTCAAAACCTCTTGTTTTTGTACGTCGAGAAATCTACATAGAAGTTTCAGCCACCGATCAATTTCATTAAGAAGAGGAATAATTTTATCAGCGGATTTTTATTTTTTTTTAACTGAGCCCTTTTTTCAAATCTTTAGCGCAGGTGCAAAAGTAGAAATATTTTTTAGAAAATGTATTTACAAAAAAAAAAGAGATTCAATCAGTGATTTTCATCATTTATTAGCTTTCTTTTAAAAAGCAACAATTCTTAGTATGGTGCACATTCAGAATAATGTCGAAATCCACATGATCTTCTTTTAGCAGTATTTTTTCTGCATTGTTTTTATGCCTCCCAACATCAGGATGTTTTTTGTTGTAGTAATTTTTCTCAGCTTATATATTCTAAACAATACATACTTCATAAAAAAGGGCGAGGGTAGAAAAGAAGTCATAACTTCAAAAAACTTCAATGCAGTATAACAACATACGCTCAAAAAATGAAATATTCCAAAATAAAAACAAGAACCATGGGAACATTAACAGGGGTCAACACTGTTTGTTGTCACAAAATTTGTTGGCAGGATATTTTCCTGATTAAAATGGGGTAGGATTTTGGATAACTTTAAAAGTTGTTTTCTAAGCTAAAATTTGGCTTCTATCTGCAATTTTCCGGAAAAAAATTGTGCAAAAGTTTTATCAGCTTGTTAATTACTCTATGATTCCTATCATTACATCAGGTCCTTTTTGATGATACCTATTTTCTTTTTTGATTTTAGAATACTGGAAAAAAACTATCACTGAAGCAAGAGACTGGTTTTTGGAGAACGAAAAGTACAAACCTAATTGCGTTCCTTCTAAATAAAATATACTTTTATATTCCGCACGCACATGAAGCACTGAAATCTTTAGTGGTACTTAGTGTCTACAAAGAGAAAATTTATTTTTATTTATATTTAAGTGTATTTTATATTTAAATATTGCTTTATCATTTATCACTGTGGTGGCTGTTAATTTTCCGATGATCTGCATTTAACTCTGTGAGTACACAGGAATTTGAGTTACCTAAGCACTCTATTTATAACCCGTGAATTTAATAGAGAAAAGAGTTCCTGTTTGATCTGCTTTGTTCCTGCTTTATCATCACAGTGCTTTGCCTGTCAGTAGTTAAACTGTGATACAATTGAAATATGTGAGAATTTTCTCTGTATGAAGTGGCCATTCATTCAGTGTGTGACATAAATTGAAGTCTTTTCATAAGTAAAGCTGCCCAATGTGAGTTCTAAGGAGGATATTAGTAGTCAAGCCAAAAGGCAAGAACTTTTTCAAAGGGCCTAGTTTGAAGTGATAGTTAATACTTATTTGAAAAATGATTAAAAATATCCATGGCTACATTTTAGTACTATTTACTATGAGTATTTTTGAATTAATTTATTTTACTTTTCTCTGCATTTTTATTTATAATTTATTCATTTATCAATCCTATCTTTGTCAATCACGTGTGTTTAAATTTGAATTTTTCCGCAAATTCTGGTGTTCACAAAACTTGTTTGAATGTGTCTCGTCATAAATGAAGAATCTAGATTAGAAGTGGTCCCATAGTTTTGTTAAAAATTTACTCCAATCTTTATAAAAAAGTATTGCAGAAATTGAAAGAAAAATTCAGAATTCTCATGTAAAAATTCTCTGACCTAGCAACCAAAAACTTCAATTCATTGATTTTATGAAAGTTCAAATTTTCTTACATAATCAACAATTAAAATTTGACTATGACTGTAATATATCTTGAGAGACCAATGTTTCTATTTTTTGACCGTTTTTGTTTTTAAAATTTATACTTAATTCATCTTTTGGTTATTCTTTTCAACCTTTGGAGCTGTGACACTAAAATTCTGTGATTGAAAACGTGAATGAAAGTTAAAAATATGAATATGTAAAATGGCCAAAGCGTATGATGGGTAGAGTTGGTTTTATGCATTTAATCCCATTTGTATTAAATATTTATTTATGTAAAATATTTTTTTATGTATGTTGTTGTTTAAGAGGACATCACAGATTTCTTTTCATTCACTTCTTTACTATGTTTAAAAGCAGCTCGTTTAATCAAGAGTACAATTATATTTTCTCTGAAACAGCCCTCTTTGTAACTCTCTAAACTTTGGACTACTGCCAAAATAGTTTTACCTGTGGGGGTAATCTTTTTATGATCTTGAAAATCTCATCTGTGATAGTTAGGTGTACAATTTAATTTGCTCAGTCATAATTAAAAAATGAAATAAGACTTTCCAGTTTGTTTAAACGTATTTATCTTGATAAAAAATCTTTAATTTTTTTTTAAAATGATTTAGCTCTCTGAGCAAGTACTATTTTGATTCCTGTAGCCTTGAGCTTGTTAATGCACATATTCTCATTTATTGTAGATCTAAATTTTTGCCAACTTTCTACATCCGTGTCATCTTCCTCCTCTTCTTACGTCTATGAATTGTTATTGCCGCCAAAAGTTTACATATCATTTCCTGTAAGTTTACTCGAGTGCCTATTAAACGTTTGACATAACTTTCAAAGTATGTAATGGTTATTTTTCTTATCTATTTATCTCCTTGCTCAGCTCAGCGGATAGTAATAAGTACCAATGTATCTTTTAATTTCAACTTACTACTAAAATTCCAGAACACTTGGGCAGTTATGCCTCATTAGCGCATCAACTCATCATATAGTACTGTATTTTTGACCCAAAATCGGTTTCTTTTCCGTAAGCACCTACGAAGCAATTTGAATTTACATATTAAAGACCATTGTACCCAAGTAGCAGAGATCACAATAATAGTTGCGACTTGATCGGAGAATGTATCACGATTTTATCTAGATCGATTTATTGCAATATCATTGATAAAAATTGTGATAAATTGCAATTTCATCGCAAAAATTTGTAATAAAATCGCGGTTTTATTTACGGTGAAATCGTGATAATTTTAGATAAACTTGGATTTTATCCAACTTTACAGAGATAAAATTGCGACAAGATCGAGGATAATCACTCAGATATTGATGATCCCATCAATTCTATCCCCAAAATATCGTTTAAAAAATCGCAGCTTAATTTCAATATCGCGATTTTTCCGTCGAAAAATGCTACTTGGGTACCCGACTCTTTCTCAGATCGTAACGTTAGGCCTTGTCTCCACGGGACGTTTCATGGGATTTGTCCCATGCAGGGAAAAATAATTTTCCCCTTTTTTTCAAAAATCTCACTTGCGAAGTCGGGAAAAATATTAAGTTAGTCAATACTAATCCCAGTGCCAACTAAAAGTCCTTGTGGGGTCCCAGAAACGACTTATTTATTTATTTTTTATTTTATTTATTTATTCTTTTGCTTTTTGCACATTTGGCTTCACAAAAAAGAAGAAAAAGAAATGTTGTGTTTTTTAACAAGATAAAAGCCCAGAAGTTTCATCCCTGCAATTCGAAACATATATGGGAAAAATCCCGTGCAACATCCCGCGGAGACAAGGTGTTACAGTACCTAAGGCAATAAGTTTATTCTGGCAAACGATGCTGCTCTAATCATAACACAGCTGCCAATATCTCATCACCGGGGACTTCATTTCGTCTGTGAGAGTCCTCGAAGTCGTAGAGCCTTTCATGCTGGGTTTTGAAAGGTTGCCCCTGAAGGGCGCCCCATCCCGAGGGTTGATAGCTCGGCTGGAAGCCCTCGCCGTTTCGATTCTCGGTCTGGTTGAGCTCGAAAGCGCGAGCGACTCCATGTGCGTGGGCGTGGTAGATTGCCCCCTGGTCCGTCTGGAACTCGGCCGAGTGGGTCTGCTCCTTGGAGAAGTAGGGGTGGGCGATCACCTCGTAATGGGAGCTTTTCCCGCCGCCGCTCCCGCCACCCCCACCGCCGCCTCCGTGGCCCTTGAGGAGGCAGATCAGGGCCATCATCATGGCCATCAGGGCCGTCATCATGGCCTTGCCGGCCATTGCGGCCAGGCCGCTTAGCGCAAGGGCCAGCATGGAGCCCCCGGTTATGAGACCGGCCATCGCCACGCCTCCGTAGCCTTTGTTCTTCCCACGACCTGGAAAAAGGTAGACAAAATAATTTGAATAAATAATGACATTGATACTACACGGGAGCATTCAAAGACGGTGTCTAAGACCTGCGTGCTGATTGTTGTAAATGGTAGACACAGCTATAGACAAAGAGGACATAGGTAAGGGGTATGGAGCGATCCTATTGGTTGTGAAATAAGTGGCTCTCACAGACTAAGGGAGATAATTATGGGCTAACTATAAGGTTTCCCGTGGGTTGCCGTTAGTTAGAGTATTACCTACCCCCTTTGTCCATTGCAGCACGGATGTGCACATTACACCAATAGGATCCCTTCATATCCTTTTTGTCTTCTTTGTCTATTGCTTTGTCTACCAGTTTCAACAATCAGCCTAACTCGAGCTGCTATGTCACCTTGGAGGTGTTGCAGAGAGTCATACGAGATTGAAGGCACCCCAAAGTATCTTGACTGATGGCATCTTTCAAAAGCACGAAGTTCCCTCTCAAAATAAATCGAGTGACAACGACAAAAAAGAGCAGTAGTCGGAAAACATAGTATAAGTCCTAGTATCTGTATTTCATATCGTTTAGCATAATTTTTGAACTTCACTCGAGGAAAAAGTGACTTGATTTTAGCAGAAATATGCTCAAATTTACCGCCGAGGAAGATTTTCTGACGAATCAATAAAGAAAATAATGCTTGTTTAAAGAAGAACAGATGCTTGTATAAAAAGAAGTCACTTACATCAAGCAGAAACCCGCTTTCATTCAGCTATTTTATTTTCGATTGAAAAAAAAAAAAAAATCTTCTCGACAGCATAATCAAGAATTTTCTGCCTAAATCCAGTCACTTTTTTCTCTAATAAAATTAAAAATTTTTGCCAAACGTTATTAAATACGGATGATAGGACTTAGTGAGTTTTTGGAGTACCGTTCTCTTTTTGTGCCGCAGTATCTTGATTTATTTGGCGTTAAAAGCTCCGTATTCTCAAAGGATGCTTGTCATTCTTAAAGTATTGGTGCGTCTTCAATTTCGTATGATACTATGCAACACCTCTGTTGCATAAAAGTTGCTTGAAGCGCCGTGGCACGCTGCGGCGGGCGAGGGCGACCAGCGCGATAGCGCATTGACGCCTACAAACCTAACTTGGATACTTCACGCATTGCGCAAAACGCGCCATGGCGCCTACAAACCTAACTGGGATACTTCACGCATTGCGCAAAATGCACCATGGCGCCTACAAACCTAACTGGGATACTTCACGCACTGCGCAATGCGTGAGGTATCCCAGTTAGGTTTGTATGCGCCAATGCGCGTTTTGCGCTGGCACCCGCAGCTCGCCGCTCCGCCTTGTGTGAGGCTCTACTATTTAAACTCGCGGAGTCAGCGTTTTTCAACTCAAGATTTTGAAATTTGTGCACACTCCGCATGAATTATTCTCATTTAAGTTGATGGGGAAAAATGTATTACAGGAAATCATAATGTGTGTTTTATAAATATTAAGGTGGGTCCGTGTCAAATTTAATGATTTCAAAAGCACTTTAGATTTATCTTTTATAATTTGTGCTATTACTGCGCTGCAACGTGGTGTACGCGCAACAGAACGCTCAAAATTGGACGTATTTGACTCGATGTACAAATGGGTAATAACCAAAGATTGCGTGCTTCTTGGTTTTTTTCTCTCTTTTATTAATTTTTGTATAGTTTCCTTCGATACAACTACGGCTCAGTAAGATTAATATCGTTGTCATCGCTTGGAGAAGGTTTTAAAAATATTTGCCACGTTTTAAAAATGTAAATGTTTTTAAAATGAAGTAATGTTTTCATTTAAAAAAAGGTATATAAAATGTATATTGTACATCGAAAATTTTGAGGATAGAAATAAAACCAAATAATCACCAATGACAGTTTGAAAAGATGATTCAAAAGAAGAAAGTAACATTTCATTTAAAAAATGAGTCACCATAACAGCACCTCCTTCTCTTTCAATTTTCTCATTTCGATATTGCCAATATAATTTTACTGACATGATGGACTAAAATAATACGCTTGGACCAAGTCACTGGTGCTTATTTTACGCATGGACGTTAACTACTGGACAAAACAGGTGCGGGGACAAAAAATCATTGACGGAATGTCCTGAGACCTATGTACATATGGACCGAGTTTAACAGAAAGGAACCAAGCCACATCAGCTATTGCCAAGTTTAACCGGACAATTAAATTTTTTACGAGATAACGTTTGTTCGGATTCCTTTGAACATTCCGAGGAATTAGCCTCGTATTATGGAGAAAATTTACTGAAATTTGCAGAAAAATCCGCTCAACCGTTTTCATGTAAAAAATTAGATTGCCCAATTAAATTTGGCAATAGCTGATGTGGCTTGGTTCCTTTCTGTTTAACGCGGTCCATATGTGCATTTGAATGCCGATCAATAATTTTAAATTTTTTAACTAAATTTTCAAATTGTGTCTCTTTATCTTCGACAAATTACCGAAGAACATCGGAAGTCACAGATTCTGAAGCTCCTACTCTTGTAGGTAACTAGAGATATCTACGTCATCACAATCCATCTTTTAAGACGTTTCTTTCTCTTGATTTGTCAAATAGGTACGAAGCCATTGAATTCGTTGGGTTTTCCTAAGATTGTTTTCGATTTGAGCAGCTTTTCCTTCGCGACTTGAGTCACGAATTCGTCTTAATCATAGTTTCTTTATTATGCCTCTCATGGCGATGTCTGAGGATCGAACATTTTTCGACCTAATAAGCGGTATTTCGTCTCAACCGCATTTCAACTTAGCGAGATCTCCGTGTATACACTGAAAGAAAAAACTCCGGCCGCGGAAGCCGTACATACGGGCTTTGCAGACATACCGTCCGCGTTCCGGGCTCAGAGGCCGAAAGTTCTGGACGTAGCACCCGGAGCAATCTAAGCAAGGACTCCAGAACCCGAAACTTCCACCTCTGAGCCCGGAACGGACGGTACGTCTATTTAGCCCGTAACTTTGTTTCTGTGTAGAAAATTTACTCTAATTGAGTACGATTCACTGGAAAAAAAACATATTGGATCTAGAGTCCAGACTCTTGAAAACATCGACAAGAAAAAGTACTCTTGATTCAATCAGATTTAAGCTTAAATCAAGAACCAAGCCTCTTAATTTGAGCGGATTTCCTTTTGATTTAAGCTTAAGGCTGATTGAATTTAGAGTCCGTTTTCTTGTCAATGTTTTCAAGGGTCTGGACTCTAGATCCAATGAGTTTTTTTTCCAGTGTTAGGTGTATGAGCTAACCCGTATTCTGATGTTGGTTGGTGATGAGGGTCGGGAGGGCCTCCTCGCCAAAGCGCCGGAACTTGCGAAGCTGGTTGTTGTCGAGGATGTGGATGTTGAGCGAGAGGGAGCGGAGGTAGTCATGGATGGAGGAGAGCACCACCTCGTCGAGGGCCTCGGGGGAGTCGACCGCCGTCTTGACGAGGAATCTCCCGGGGGTCGTCGCCGTGGAGTTGGGGTGCCCCTGCTGG